CCCTTGTTATATTTTTAATGGCTGCAGTATCTGGAATGATGTCTCCTATTTCATTCCTGATATTGGTAATTTGTGTTCTATTTTTGTCAGTCTTGTTTGGAGGTTTATGAATTTTATTGGTGTTTTTGAAGAACCAGCTTCTTGTTTCCTGGGGTTTTTTTGTAATGTTTTCCTATTTCTAATTTTATTTTCTGTTCTTATCTTTATTTCATTCCTTCTGTTTGCTTTGGGTTTTTCTCCTTTCTAATTTCTTGCAGTAAGAACTTCAACTATTGAAATGACACCTTTCCTCATTTTTAATATAAGCATTTAGTGCTATAAATTTTCCTCTCAGTACTGCTTTAGTTGCATCTTATATATTTTAATATGTTGTGTTTTCATTTTTTTTTTAGTTCTGTGTACTTTATTTCTTTTGAGACTTCCACTTTGACCTATAATTATTTAGAAGTGTGTTTGCTTAGTTTCCAAGTGTTTCAAGAGTTTCCTGTTATCTTTGTTATAGCTTTTCAGTTTGATTCTCTTATAGTCAGAGCACACACTCGGTATGATTTCAATTCTTTTACATACGTCAAGGTTTCTTTTATAGTATGTTTTATGTTTGTTTGTTTTTTCTATTTGGTGAATGTTCCATGGGCAATTTATTCTGCTGTTGTTAGGTGGTCTGTTTTATATATGTTAATTAGATCCTGTTTGATTGTGTTGTTCAGATCTTTGATATCCTTAAGACTTTTTGTCTAATAGTTCTATCAGTTGCTGGAGAGGAGCGCTGTTTAAGTTCCCAACTATAATCATAGATCTTTCTCTTTCTCCTTGCAGCTTTATCAGTTTTTGCTTCATACATTTGAGGTTCCATGGCTTAGTTTGTGTCCATTTAGTATATTGTGTCTTCCAAGCAGATTGATCCTTTTATCATTACATGATGTCTTTTGTATCTGGTAATTTTTTTTGCTTTGAAACCTACTTTATGAGATATTAACGTTGCCACTCCAGCTCTTCTTTTTTATTATTAATGTGCACATGGTATATCTTTTTCCACGCTTTTACTTTCAACCTACCTGTGTATGAATTTGAAATTGGTGTTCCAAGTGAATTTCTTATATGCAGCATATAGTTTTTTTTTTTTTAAATCCACTCTGCCAATCTGTCTTTGGATTGGTGTATTTAGACCAGTTACATTTAAGGTAAGTATTGATATGTTAGCACTTGAGTATGCTATTTTACTATTTATTTTCTATTTGTTTCCTCTGCTTCTTATTGCTCTTTTTTCTCTTTCTTGCCTTTCTACAGGTTACTTGAACATGTTTTAGGATTCTGTCTTGATTTATTTATAGCACTTTTGAGTTTGTCTCTTTGTATAGTTTTCATAGTGGTTGCTCTGGGTGCTACTCATAACCATGTACTGCTATCAACATTTACCACTTCAAACGAAGTATAGAAACCTCATTTCCATTTAGGTTCCTTTACTTTCCCCACCTTTAAATATCATTGTTTTGAGTATTAGATGATATTATAATTTTTGTTTCAATCATAAAATATTATTTATAAAACTCATAAGGAAAAGAATTGTCTATTGTGTGGACTCATATTTCTGCTCTTTCTGTTGTTTCTTCTTAATTCCTGATGCTCTAAGTTTCCTTCTTTTATCATTTCCTTCTGCTTGAAGAACTTCTTTAGCCAGTCTTTTAAGGGTATGTCTGCTAGTCACAAAATCTTTTCATTTTCATTCATCTATTATGAATGTTTTTATTTTTCTTTTATTCTTGAAAGATAGTTTTGCCAGATACAGAATAATGGGTCAACAGTTCTTTTCTTTCAGCACTTAAAAAATAATAGTTTGCCATTTCTTTCTTCATGGTTTCACATGAGAAATCCATTCAAACTGGTGTTCCCTGACAAGGAATGCATTGTTTCTTTCTGGCTGCTTTCAGGATTTTTTTTTTTTTTTTTTTTGTCTTTAGTTTTGAAAAGTTTAATTAAGATGTGTCTTGGCATGGATTCTTTGGGTTTATCCTGTATGGGGTTCATTCAGCTCCTAGGTTCAGTCAATCTCTAGGTTGGTATCCTTCATCAAATTTGGGGAGTTTTCAGCCATTATTTCTTCAAATACTCATTCATCCCCACTCTTTCTCTTCTACTTTCTGGGACTCCAAATACATAAATAATGGATATACTTTTTTTTTTTGTCCCACAGGTCCCTAAGGCTCTGTTCATTTTTTTTCCAGTCTATTTTCTCTCTATTGTTCAAATTGGGTGAATTCTACTGTTCTGTCCTCAAGTTCACTGATTCTATTCTCCATCATCTCCACTCTACTGTTGAGCCCATCTGGTGAATTTTTGTTTTATTTTTCAGTTCTATAATTTCCCTTTGTTTCTTTTTTGCATAATTTCTGAGATTTTCTACTTTTTCATTTTTTTTTTTTAAAGATTTTATTTATTTATTTTTTCCCCCCAAAGCCCCAGTAGATAGTTGTATGTCATAGCTGCACATCCTTCTAGTTGCTGTATGTGGGACTCGGCCTCAGGATGGACGGAGAAGTGGTGCCTCGGTGCGCGCCCGGGATCCGAACCCGGGCCACCAGCATCGGAGCGCGTGCACTTAACCACCAAGCCACGGGGCCAGCCCTCTACTTTTTCATTTGTTTTAAAAGAATTTGTAATTGTCTTAGCATTTTTATAAATTCTGCCTTAAAATTCTCATCTGATAATTCCAACATCTGATTCATCTCAGTGTTGGCACCAGTTGATTTTGTTTTTTCATTCAAGTTGTGATTTTCTTGGTTTTTGGTTTGTATCCTAGACATTTTGTCTATCATGTTAGGACACTCTAGGTCCTATTTAAATATTTATTTTACATGGAGTTACTCTATAGGTTTAACATATGTGTCTTAGCCTACTTTTGTGGGCTGCAATTCCAACAGCAGGTTAATTTTCAGAGCCTTTGTGGTGTTATTTTGGTTTGCTTGATGTATTCAGTGCTGCTGGGGCTTGCACTGGTCTCTGTTGGTGCTGCCTGAGGGGAGTGGAAGGAATTTCCTCTGGCTGGGTTGCCAGCTATCTCTTGGTGAGGGAGGGGTGTGGAGAAATCCTTCTATTGATGCCCCCCCAGCTACCCAGGTTTCTCTGGGCCAGGGAGGAGTCTCAGTTCCATGGAAACAAAGTGCCTTTCAGGACTAGGCTGCTGGCTATAGGGCTGCTAGCTGTGACAGGTCCTTTTTCCCAGGCATACCAGTCAGCTCTAGTGTCTCTGGCCTTCTGGATTTGGGACAAAGAGGTTCCCCCAGCTGGGCCACCTGCTTTATCTGGGTCTCTCTTAATAGTTCCTCCCACCCACTGCAGTATCTCTCCATGAGAGAGTCTCTGACCCAACAGGGAAGGAGAGTGCTTCCTTTGGTCACTTATATTTGGCTGGGCTCCTAGTCGGTCCCCCTTGCCTGAAGTTGTCAGAGGGACTCCCACTAGATCCAGGGGGAAGTATGAGCTACTGGGCTAACTTTTGTTGCCAGATCAGAAGATGGAAAATGCCAGATCTGAGTGGCCACCTTCTTTTGGTTGGAGGATGCCCTGCCTCTGTGTTGTTCCTCTGGTCCTGGGTTCCAAAACCAGCTCACCTTCTTCTTAGCACCCTTCAGAGTTCTTCTTTGCTTATTTCTTGTGCCATTTCCAGGGTTTATAAAGTTGTGCTTAGTGGGGAAGAGCAAGGAAAAAAGGTCCATGCTATCTTGTCCAGACCACAAGTCTCTCACCTACTGAATTCTATGTCTTCATTAACTGTTACAATTTTTATTTTTTATTTTTTTTGTTTTGCTAATTTAGACCCAGTTACATTATGGATATCAAAAATCCCAAGAAACCTTTGCCCAATGCAGATATTTAACCTATTTTCTCCACATGTAATTAATGAGACTTGGAAAAAAACAGATATATCAACACAACAGGATCTAAATTAAACTTAAGGCCATACACATAAAGGTACTGTTGAGGAACACAAACACATACACACCTCCTTTCAGGCCATCTCCTTCCAATCTGCTCAAGGAGGGTCTCTACATCAAGCACAAATGGATTCACGAAGCCACCAAGGGGCTGGGGAAAATGGGGAGGGAGTAGCAGAGCAGATTACAGGAAGGGCACAGCCCCCTCCTCCTGGGGTTCTCCGAGTGCCAAAACCTGCCTGGATGCTTCTGCTTGGGAAATCTAACTCTGCAAGGCTGAGCAGTGCCAGGAGAAAGATGGCTACAGAACTACCCAAGTTTCCTGGCTCTTCTCTGAGCTTTAGTAGGGAAGAAAGCTTAACCCAGTCAAGTGCACCAAAGTAGACATTTATTTGGGGCAGAATCCTCAGGCCAGTACGTTTTATTTCTTTCCTTTTTATTTATATACTGTGTCATTCCCAAGAAGGATTTAAAGTGATTTTAATGGATACATAATATATAAGAAAATATAAATTAGATGTAGGCAAAAAAGAACAACAAGAGGAAAACAAGGGACAGGAATGAGGTTGGTGCAAAACTGCTTCTTTGTGATTTTGTGATTCTCTACATTTGTAATAAATAACCCATGAGAGGACACATTGCTAGGGTATTTCCTGTGCCATCTCTGATTGGACCCTCAGGAGCACTCAGGACTGGGAATGGGTGCAGCAAGGTGGACTCCTAACATGGAGATATGCTATCGAGATAGAGACAAGTTCCTATGGAAATTTCCCTATAGTACTCCATAGATTTCCTGCTCCTGAAACATGTTTGACTTCTTCTTAACGATTCCTGAGTTATCACTTTGAGAATGGCCATGGCTCTGAGCAGTGTAATCTAGTTGAACACTCAGGCTACTAAGTTGCTGAGAGATCACACACCAGTTAGGGTCCATTGCAAGTCAGAGACTATCTAAATATGCACAGAGTATGACCAAGGCTAAAACTACAGTCATCAATTTCTCAAACTCTTGTTTTTAATATTCTTCTATTTGATTCTCAGAATCTAACCCCAAACTGTTGGATACAGACTTGCAGTGTCCCTCCCACGTCATCTGGAAGTCTAGGTGATGCTGATGACATGCTGAGAAGTAGCCACAGAAGTAGTGCTGTGCCCGGTGACTAAATGATGACACTCCTTCCACTATGGGAGCTGTCTCTCTCCTGAGGAATAGACGAACACACAAAAAATCAGATCAGTTGAGATCTATTGTCTATGCATACAATACACAAGGTACGCTTGATTCTGGTGCAAATCCTAGGGGAGTGGTGGCTGCTGGGATAGCATATCTGAATCTAAAACATATTTCTTGACTCTTCATGAAGCCAGTCTCTCCCCCAGGCTTAAGTTTCTCTTCTTTCCTACCTCTCTGGAGCTTCCCTCAAAAACCTTTAATTTCTGAAAATTTCTTACAGTCTCATTCACTCTGCCTCTTGCAGATTTTTAACATCGTCAAGTAAGTCTCCCTTAGATTGGAGAAAGGTACCCTGTTCCATTCATCAGTCCATCTCTCTACTATTCGTTTATGAAGACATGGCCCAGTTTTCCTTTTCTTATTTATAGTCTCCTGTACCATTCCTTCTCAGCCCTTTTCTAAAAAGTTTAGCTTCATACCTTAGTATTTCTCTGAAGTTATTTTTCAAAGATCACTAATTACCTCTTCCTGACCAAACTCAGTGGCTTTTCTTCAGAAGTTATTCTACTTTATCTCTCGGCTTTTTCAACTTGCTCTACGAGGGCAAGGACTACGGTTTACATTTCTTATATTTCTCTATGTGTTGTAGGAGAGCATTTTTATTTAGGTTTTGAATATCTACAGCTGCAGTCCACGAATGTGACCTTGTCTTATTTGAAATGGCAAAATAAGGTATCTGTCCCAAAACATACTGTTGAAAACACTGTATATTTATGTATATTCAGGTTGCTATAAAAAATTTGTGTTTCCATTTTCTCAGGAAAGGGAGTTTAAGGGGGTGTGGTTTCTAATCAAAATGCTGTGGGATGAAAGCTCTCTGACACAAAGGAAAGCATGAAATGGGGCCAAAGGAACTTATCCAGGGCTTGCTGAAGGAAAACCTAGACATAATCAAGGACTAGACATTTTACTGAAAATAGATTAAGTATCGTGATCTAACAAAACTTTTATTGAATCAAAGAGTCAAGCAAAAATTAAAAAAAAAATCTTGGAGTCTCTACAGAAAGTTTAACTTGGAGAGGAAAGGATGTAGTTTTCTCTTATATTAGAACAGGTGTGTACAGGCCAAGTTTGGAACAAACCAGAAATGCCTTGGGAAGCCCTATCTGATAAGGCAAGATTAGAAAGATAATTGATTTGAAGGAGGCCAGGAACACAGGGGCCACTCAGTCTGAAACCACTGGAGTTTAAAGCTTGATGTTACAGCTTCTTATATTTCTGAGGTTGTAGCCTTTGATGGAGTGAAAAGACCACTAGACCTGAAGTGAGAAGATCTCAGCTGGAGTCCTGGTTCTGGAGTCTAATAGGAGATTCCTCAACATCACTTCCATTTTCTCATGGGCACTGCACGAGAATAGTTCTTACCTATTTCGGGGTCCCATGAGATCACCTTCATGGAAGCCCTTGTCCCTTGATCTACTTGTTAAACATTATTCTTGACAGAAGGTTCACGTGAGCCAAAAGATTTTTTGATGAATTCACATTGCTCTGAATATTTAATAAAGTACTTTTAATAAGTACTTTGTAAAAAGTTACGGTAAAGCTGTAACTGCTGAAAGCTTGATTTAAGAAAATAGTGACACACCCTATCAACTCAAGGAGTAAACAGAAACTTTGTTATACATAACCAAAGATCACCATCTAGTGGCCCAGTTGTATTATAACTTCTGAAGTGGGCTGCAAGCTCCATAGACTTCAGAGGCTAAGAAAGTGTGTGGGAAGCACCAGCCCCACCAAGGAGAGGAGGGAAGAGCGAGACTCTGGCCCTGGAGAACTTTGCTTCACTAAGGGTATTCAAAACTCAAGTTACAAACAAAACACTGTGGCCTTCAAACCAACTAATATTCTAAATCAAGCTTTGGTCTTGGGCCTCTGGTCCCTCATAATATGAACAGACAGTTGAATGTGATAAAGTAAAGTGATAACTCTTTGGGAGATAAGCTCAGGTAGATCCAAAACAATGAAGGCTTTTCAAATTATTTTGAGCAAACTCTTTGCTTCTTATGAGCAACTTTACAATTGAAAATTTGGTTTCCTTGTGGTAAAATTATTGGTGGGTACAGCTTGATGATAAAGGAAGCTGTGATACTTCCCAAAAACGAGGAAGAAATACAGTCACCAGAAAACAGCACTGCCCCACATAATTCTCTTCTCTCTTTCTAATGAGGCAGCATGAGTTATTGAAAAGGGCACAGGCTTGAGAGTCAGAGGGCTATGTTCAAATTCTGGCTTCACTCACTATTGGCTGTGTGACTCCCGGCATGTTACTTAATCTCTCTGAGCCTCACAGGGCTGTTGCAAGGATTAAATGAAATAAGGCTTCGAAAGGGCTTACCCCAGTGTCTGGAACATAATTGGTGTTCCTTTTATCCTTCTCTCACTTATAAGAACCCACATAATTTAACTTAGAAGAAAATAAAAGAAAAAATTTAACTTAGAAGAAAATAGGGTTTGGGTTTTGGTCCAAAAACTGGCTTTTAAATTACATTTTTCTGTTAAAACGAAGATAAGAGGCAGTTTAGTTACTATATGACTGAAGTAACAGTAGCTGTCTTGGGTCTGACTGGTTCTGTGTTTTCTTTCAGGATGTAATTTTCTTACTTGGGAAAAAGAAAGAGCTGTATCCACTATAAAAATGAAGACAATAGTACAAACCGCACAGGGTGTCGTACGGATTAAATGAGAGGCTGCATAAATGTCCTCAGCTCAGTACCACTTAGTAAGGATACTACTAATTTTCTTTATTACTGGTCTTTGCCTCTCACGGGACATCGGTGAGAATACGATGTAATTGCCATTGATTATTTCAGAAATGCCTGCGGGCCTTTGCTACCTTCTTCGAAATCACATTCTCACCAAGGCTCTTCCCTAGAAAGACCAGAGCTGTGTCTCTCATAATGTGCCTGTTCCTTTGCACACACACCATGTATATGATTGGTTTTTAAACAAATCACAGCAGAACTTGCATTTCCTAATGAGAGTTGTATCCTTCAAAATATGTGAGAAACTAAAATTCTTTTTCCTATAAAATCCCTCTATTCTGGGAACTTCCCTCAGAGCCTACTACATATCCCTTTATCTCAATAGAAGCGAAACAGAAAAGGATTTTGGTCAAATAGAGAAACAGACTTTCATGGGTAGCCATGTATGTTGGCTCTGAAGGCAGTTCATAAATATTTTTGAGCAATGGCAGCATAACTTTGCAAAATGATAACGTTAAAGGAATACCATCATTTGGGTATATTAATTATAACATGATTTTTTAAAAGTCACATCTTAAAAAAAAAAGGTCTATATTTAGAAGCCCCTCTTTGTGCTCCTTTTAGGCTGGTAAGCTATGACTGACACCCACTGGCACCTTGTTTATTCACAGAATCCTAAAGTTTTGACCCATATTTGAGATATCAGGTGGGTTTTGTTTTTTTTAATCAGTTTAATGATCTTTTCCAGGGGGACTCAGAGGGCTCATCAAATACAACAGGGCCTTGCACACTGACGTGCAGCCCGCAGAAGTGGCACAAATGTCCTCTGTCAGGCCGTGGTCTAATTTGGGGTATGGAAATAGGGGTGCTAAGTAAAGCAAGGTAGCTATGACAGGAAGTAAAGCCTTAGCCGCGAAGGCCGGCGTTCAAGTCTCAGCTCCACAACTCACAAGGTGCTTCATTATTCTGAGCCTCATTTCCTCATCTGTGAAATGCGGGGACGCTGCCTGACCTGCCTCACGGTACTGATGAGGACTGGACTAGGATGACAGGGCCTTTGTCAGCCTCAAGCACCGAGCCCCTCCCCCGCCCTCTGCCCTCACTGGGTCCCTTCTAGCTCTAACAAGGGGGCTCACCAAGCCCATGGGGCAAGCTGTGCAAAAAAGGGAGGAGGTACCCTCAGCGGTGGCATGGGAGGTGGCCTGTGTCAGCTGTGGCCAAGCCCGGCTGAAGGGTCCCTTCCGCCCACGCCCGACCCTCAGCAGGATGCCCCAGGCTCACCGAGCGCCTCTCCACACTCCCTTTTTTCCTGCCATTCTTGCCTGGGGTGACATCCAGTGAGCGGTAGCTGGGTGGCTTCTCCTCGGGCCAGGTTGGGGACTGCGAGCGGCGGCGGCGGGCCCCCCTGCTCCACGGCGGCCTCTCTCTCTCGTCGTCGGAGCTCCAGGAGCTGAGGCCCGAGGGCGGGGGAGGGGAGTAGCTGCGGTGCCTGCGCCGGCGGTGCCTCTGGGCGCCCTCCCGGGGGCTGGGCCTGCGGGGTCTCTCCGGGTAGCGGCTCCGGAGACGGGGGTGGCTGGGCCGCCAGCGGGCCTCGCTGGAGGAGGGGCCGTCGCTGAGGCTGTCCCTGTCTGACCAGGGCGTGGGTGACCCGCTGAGCCTGGAGCTGCGATACCTTCCACTCCGCTGCTGGTTCAGCTCCCTTCGCTCCAACGCCCAGCCCTTAGGCTCCCGGTCCCGGAGCTGCGCGTGGAAATCAGAGTAGTGGTGCTGCCTTCTTCCCTCCCTCAGATCCCAGGGTCCAGGGGGAATCGGGGTGAGCCGTTGCTGGCGAGAGGAGTTGCTGGTCCTCTGCGAGGCTGGGAGGTCTCTGATCAGCGGGGGCAGGTGGATGACTCTGCGTTCCACCACCTCCGAGCCCAGGGAGGACAGCATGCTGAAGGGTTGGCCAGATATGGCTTTGGGGTCAGGGGGCGGAGGCTGGGCCAGGTTGAGGTTCCGCAACTCTTTCTCCAAATACTCTAGGACACCATTGGTGATGGGCGGGTGAGCGGTGGTATGGGTCATTGGCATCTGTGGGAGGCTGGATTGCAGGGACAAATCTGAATGGAAACAAGGATAAGAACATGCAGAACTACTGGCCCCAAACACGCTCCTCAGAATCAGGGCACCAAAATGCCATATTGTTTAGCTTGCATCTGTCCCTCCGCATCCTCAGTCACAAAAATACCCACTTTATTGGTCACGAAGGCCCCGTTGCAGCCCATGCTCCCACCCTTGCCCTCTGCCCTCTCCCACCCCAAATCTCTGACAAGGTTTACCTCGCTGCAGCAGTGGGTGCATTGGATAAGATGAAAACTGGGAGCTCCTGTCCGCCCCCCAGTACAGGGGTTTTTCCATCATCTGGGGGCCTAGGACCTGAGCCTGCTTCATGTAGCGGTGGCGGGTCAGGGCTGCGGGGGAAAAAGGAGAAATGCAGACCCTCAGCTAGGGCAAGGCCCACACATCCCTCTTCACTGCTTTCCACCTAGAGGCCTTGACAAGAGGCCAGTTTCTCTCCTCAAAGTTCATTATGACCTATCTTGCACGGGAGTAAGAGTTAAGGGAGTCGTGAATTGACTATTCCTCTGGCAAGGAGCTGGGAATAAATTCCTTAGTCAAAAAGGCAACTCCTGCACCCCAGGGAAGTATACTCAGAAAACCTGACTTCCTAGTCTTGAAAACATTTCATCATCCTGCCCATTCCCAAGGTCACCCAGAAAGTATGGCAAATACATGGATATTAGCAGGCAATGAAATCTCAGGTCTTAGGCCAAACACAGAAGGTACAGATGCAAAGGGCTTAGAGGAGGCTGTGAGTCAGGGGCTGCCAGGGAAACACAGGGCTGCCTGCTCAGAGTAGAAAAAGAAAAAGAGAAGGACGGAGATGCTGAAGTCAATGGGTAGAATTACTGGTAAAAGGAGGGGGACTGAAAAACATTTCTGGTACAACAGCCGTGGCTGGGAGAAAACCAGTGGAAAGAATGCAAGAGAAGGTAAAAAGCTGAACTGGACCCCAGCGGATCTTTTCTACTCTTCTCCTCACTTTATTCAATGTTGGGGTCTTCTCTACTTAGGGAGACTCTCTTAGAGGAAATCTCTAAGGGGTAGGGTGGAGGCAGAGAAGGGAGAAGGGAAACACCATTTCCTTTCAGGGCAAAGAGAATAATATAAAAAAGCAGCACAAGGGATCCATAGAAGTGTCACTGCAGTCCCCTTGGTGCAACTGGTCTGAAGCACATAACCCATGGTGAGTGCAAATTAAAAACAAAAGCATTTAGTTGTTTTTGTTCATGAATTTCTATTTTGAGGTCATTGTGACAGTGCCACGTCTCCCAAAGTCCCTGTCTATTCATGCATGTAATAAATGTACTTGTGTGTTTCAGTGCAGGAAGTGCTTGCCTCAGGCCCCCAGCTTGGCACTCTCACCTCCTTCTGGGTTCCTCAAGCCCTGTGGCCACCCCTAAAGCAGCCAGGCTCTGCCTGAGGCTTCCTCCTGGCACAGTAGGAGGGGAGAGAAGGCAGGCATTCCGGAGCCAGCTGCACCAGGTGGGGGATTTGCTGAGGCCGGCAGTTAAGGGGCCATTTGGATGGCTGCCCAGTGTCTCCAGTGTGAAACAAACTTCCAGCACAACAGGAAGTGGTTGCAGCAGAGCCCCCAGAAATGTCTGGAGCTGTAGCCCTGATGGTGAGTCATGGCCCAGCCCAAAGGAAATCGGATGCAAACTTATAGCAGCTCAGCCAGCTGCCATACCTTTGGCACCCCTAACCCTCTGAAGACAAGCCCACACGCTCAGCACTTCCTCTCCCTCTTGCTAACAGAGGCCTCCCCAAGCTCCCTGTATGTGCCACCATCAGCACACATAATGCCCTGGTTAATACGTGCCCGGCACTTTACATAAGCTAACTAGTCCTCAGAGAAGTCTCTTAATGCGAGAATCAGATGAGGGAGCTGGGCTCAGAGAGGCTACCTTCCCAGCTCAAGGTGCCCTAACTGGTAAACTGCAGAGGCAGGACGTGACCCTGTGTCTGTCTGACACCCAAGCCTGTGCTCTTTCTGCCAAACCACCGAGTCCCCAGACTCCTTTATTTCTGTGATGAAGCAAAAAAAACAAAAACCTTCCCCAGAAGTATGTCCTCGTTTTATTTCTCTCCAACTCAGCTCCATACCTTTCAAAACCCACTCCAGATTAGTCTCTGCTTCCAAGGCCTGGGGACATCTGATTCTGTTGGGAACAACCCTGCCCACGCCCTGCCCCTGTATTTGAATCCTGGCTTCTTCCAGATGGTACCATTTCCCCTTTTGGCCACTTCCTTCCCCTACTCCTCCAATTCATTAGGAGAGAAAGGGAGAGTTAGTCTTACTGCTTGCTCCCCAAGTGACTTTTTTTAATTAATGAGACCCCCTGTACAGATAACTCCCTAGAAACCCTTCCAGATGCGCCATGAGCTTTCCTGTCAAATTTTCACAAACTCCAGAAATTAACCTACTGGCTCCCTTCTTAGCTGCCACAACCTTTTTACTAGGGTCCCTCCCTTCCCTGATGCACTGGAACTGATAAGATGGGAGTGGAAAACACAGCCTCTGAGGCTCTCCCTTGCCCTCCTGTTCCTGAAAACAGTTCCGTGGGGATGTCTAGACTACCAGGGTTTTCTGCTGCTTACCTAATGGGGAATCAGACAGTCAATAAAATAAGAAACATGGAGAAAGTAACAAAGTTTCAAAAGACTCCTAATAAGTTATCTCTGAACCTCATTGGAGTAAAGTCTGTCTTGGTCACCCTTAAGGAGTTTGTTAAAAATACAGACTCCTGAATCCCACTGCCAGAGCCTCTCCTTCAGTCTAATGCAAGACAAGAAAATCTGTGTTCTCAACAACCTCCCTAATTCTAATACAGGGAGTCAAATTGGAGTTGACCATTGGGGATTCTCAATAACTTTTTGAGAAATATGGTCCTCAGAGATAGGTTTCCTTAAATATGGGCTATGAGGGTGAGATGAACTTCAACTTGAATCCCAGCATGTACTAGCTGTGTGATTTTGAGTGAGTTTCCAGAGTGTCTGAGCCAAGTCTCTTCTTCTGTGAGCTAGGGACAATAATACCTATTTCACCAGGTCGTTGAGGTTAAATGAGGTAATACACATGAAATGCTTATTATATGACAGTCAATGGATACTGGCTGTCATTGTTATAATAAATTGTTATAAGAAGTCGCTTCTTTTGCCTTAGATCCCATAGGAGAGACAAAAGTACACATTTGGAGACTAAACTACCACAGGCATTTTATCCTCATTTCTGAGGAAAACCCAGGGCATATTCTTTAAGACGTCCCCTTTGTGACAGAACTGACACTCCACACCACCCCTCCTCCAGAACCCTGTGCCTATCCTCCCCTGCAGCCGGCATCACCTGTGGTACCTGCACTTGCCCAGAACTGCTTATCATTCCTTACCAGCCCCTCTCCACTCTCAGAGCCCGTTCTTGGCCCTCTTTTGACCCACGGTCACACAGTCCTTTTGCTTTTTCCCATACTACCAATCCCCTCTGATTGGACTGACCAGTTATTGCAGTGACATCCTCAGGAGCTTCCTAGAGTCACATGCCCTTTGAACTCTTACCATTTCAGCTTTAGGGAACCACCAGCAGATGCTTCCTGGCCCCACACCGCCAGAGCTGACTGCACAGACAACCGACCTCAAATAGCCCTCCCTCCCAACCTGGCTTTCCTTGACTGATCTATTGATCCTGCTTCCCTCCTCTAGGGCAACAGTTTATATATTCCCTAATTCTCCTGTCTTCCGCTTCCCACGAACTTTCAGCTGATGACAAAATCTTTGTTGAGGAAGAGGAACCAGCACTGGGCATGGAATCAAGAGAGCTATATCTATTCCAGGACCCGCCACTCACAAGTCGTAATTGTGGAAAAGTCTCTCAAGGCCTCACTTCCCTCCACTGTGAGGGGGATGTGGAGGTGAGTGACATAGATTAGAGATTCTCATTGTGGCCTGTGGCCCACTGCAGTGTGTGCCTAGAGCTTCTGCGAGGAGGAGAGCCAGAACCCATCTAGGGATGAAAGATGTTTTCTCTAGTTCTCATGAAAAAATAAGGTCCAGTTTCAATAACTTTTATCTTTAAGTTCTACTATGGGTTGTTTACTAATATTAAGTGAATTATAAAGAGTTACTAAAATTTGGTGTCATTTTCATTTTTCTCCTCTCTGGTCCTCTATTAATTCTCAAGTGGGAGCAAGTTAGGGAGGTGGGCTGTGGTCAGAGAAGTTCAAGAACCACTGACGTCATTCTCAAAGCTTCCTTCTGCATCTAGAATTTTGATTTGCTGAAAGCAAGACAGGCTGGTGTGAGCTCTCTCAGCTTCCTTCCTTAAACTTTAATCATCTTCCACATTTTAATGGCTTCCTCTCTCTCTTCAGAGGTCAGCTGCCTTTCCTTTCCTTTCTAAAGGTAGTCTGTTCACTGTAAGCCTGATGTCACTCCACCAGCTCCACCACTCCTCCGTGATCACCTCACTTCATAATGCATTTTACTTACTTTCTATTGGCCTTGGTTCTTTGCCTACAAATATGCTTAGGTTATCTTCTTCTAAAAAAACCAACAGTCACACACACCGTTTTCGCCCTCCAAGAACTTTTCTTAACTACTTCTGCCCCTCCATGTAGTCTCCTCTTGTCACCAAACTTCTCAGGACAGTCTGCCCTAGTGACTCACTTTGAAAGTGACCTCATCTGCTCAAGTCCAGGGCCTTTTATTTGTGGCCTACATTTCTTTATTTTACTAGTTCTTCTAAGTGAACTCTAACCACTTAGGAGAAACCACTCTCCCCCAGAACCTGTTTATCAGCTTAATGACAGCAGATACATTTATCATTTGTGCTGACGTTATCCCCAGTCCTGCCTGTTTTGAGTGCCCCACTGACCTAGGGATTCTAAGAAGGCATCTTGGGAGGGTTCTTCTCATCTCATTTGGCATATTACTACTTCAGTGACAGTGACTTCTCCAGGGCCTCTCTCCAGAGGTCCTTGAAAGATAGGAAGCTCCATGGCCCAATACTGAGTTCTCTGTTATTTTTCCTCTCTTTAAGGAGTTCATTGGTATCTCAAACAATCTCATCATGATCTACACAGAGGTTATGTCAGCCTCTGTTGTGGGAAATTCAGGCACTCATAAGTCAGATGAACATGAATTCAACACTGTACTGCCTCTGCTACTTACTAGCTCTGTGACTTCTCTGACTTTCAGTCTCCTCATCTGTTAAACAGTGATGATACCTGCCTTCTAGGGGTGTGAAGATTCAATAGGGAAATATATGCAAAGGGCCTACAAATAGCAAACATCCAATAAAAGTTAGTTCTCTTTGCCTGTAAGAAAGCAACCTCAGAACACAGGCCTGAAACCAGACTCAGACCACTGACCTTCTTGACATTGTAGATTAGATTTTGTTTCTATCTTTAGATACAATTCTTTATTTTTCCTTTTAAAAAATTTCCTTTCAAATGGACCAAAAAGATAAGAGTGGTTATCTCTGGGTACTCAGATTAGTATTTACATTTTACTGAATTTCTCAAATTTTCTACAATGTAATACTTTACTTATATCATCAGGAAAAGGAAATGTTATTTAAAAAGGCACAAAAACTCCTTCCTTTCAAAGCAGTTGATTCCACTCCATCTATTTACTAAGAAAAGATCTTTGCAGAATAATTTTTTATTCTTTTGCCTTTACCATGCATTCTGCGGCCAAATTTTCTAAAGCATGTCATAATTATGTTTTCAAAGGGCAATTTTCAGCCCAAAGAAAGATCCCATTAAGTGCAAGATCTTCTTCTGTTCCGTCTTCCCTTCCTCTAACACAAAGGTTCTCAAAGTACGGCCCCCAGACTAGCAGCATCACATCACTTGGGAACTTTTGAGAAATACAAATTCTTGGGTCCACCCCAGACCGATTAAATCAGAAACTCTGGAGGTGGAGCCAGCAATTAAGTTTTAACAAGCCCTCCAGGAGATTCTGATGTGAACTTAAGTTTGAGAACCACTGCTGTAACACCTCTCTCCTCTCCTCTGTTCTTTTCAAGTCATCTCTAAGGAGTGGCCTTCTCTCTCGCTGCCACATTCAAACCACTCCATCCAGCCACCTCGTGCCCAAGCGAGGGCAGTGCCAGGAGCATAGGCACAAGGGCTGCTGAGCAAATGCCATCAGCAGGCAGAGCCATCTGAAGGAGGCCTTAGGCAGGGTAGGATGTGGACAGGCAGAAGTCCTCTCACTTGGCTCTACAGCTTCCCCAAGCATCATTTTCTGGGCTGAGGCCAAACTCCCCTGAGCCTGTGATGGGAGAAGGGCAGGGAGGAGAACCCGGAAGAACCTCAGGTTTTGACCTGGGCATGTGAAGCTGATCTGTTTGGGGCACCAGGCGCCAGCACCACCCCATCCCACTGCTCGTCCGTCCCCTCTCACCTTCCTCAGGGCAGCAGCAGCGGGTGGGACAGCAGGGGCAGCGGATGTAGCAGCAGCAATACTGAGGGCAGCACTGGCACCAGCACACTCCAATCAGCAGGAGGAGGAGGAGGGCTCCCAGAATGATGAAGATCACCGTCAGCCAGTCTGTAGGAAGAAGCCAAGCAGGGGTTGAACGAAATCTGCAGGGGCATGCTTCCAGTTCTAACATTCTGGAGGTCTAATAAATATAGCTCTTGACCTACAGGTTAAGGTTGAGCAATATAATGGCAAAGAAAAAAAAGGTTAGCTTTGATAAGGGAACTTCAGAGGTTGGCAATCCACCAACAGTAACCTGGGCTTGCTGGTTTCTGGTTTTGTTTTTTTTCTGTATATAAAAGTGTCATGGTGGTGGGGTGGCCAAAGAGAAAGCTCCAGCAGCACTTACGTAGGACAATGAGCTTCACCTCCTTATCTGGGTCTCCTGATGTGTCCCCTGGAGCCTCAATGGTGCAATAATACACTCCATGGTCCCACCACATCACTTCATTAATCACAAGATCTGCTCCTGCAAAGAAGGAGGAAGTACCAGTGGTTTCTGACCTATGGTAGCTTCAAGACCCCAGCACTGTCCTTCCACAACCTAAGAGGGCCCCCTTAGAGAAAGGCCTCAGAGAAAGGCCTCACTTCCTTCCTTAGAGACCCTCCTCTTTCTTCAAACAGTACTGATGGCAGTACTGACCATTCATTGAGCTCTGCTAGGTACTTGAAAGGATTTTGGATACATCACCTCATTTAATTCCCACCACAACTCTCTAAGTGGGTGACATAGAGATTACCAGTTGTCTTCCAGTGTCTATTCTCCCTTTCTCTCATGGTCATAGAATTTTTGGTCATGTACGTGGCCATCCAGAATAAAGTCAATGTTTCCCATCCTCTCTTACAAATGGACATGGACATGTGACTCAGTTCTGGTAGATAGAAAGTAAGCAGAAATGTCACCTGATGGCTCCTAGGAACTTTCTTAAAATAGTTTGGGAACACCTTTGCCCTTTTCTTCTTTGTGTCTTCTTCTACTCTGTTATCTGGAAAGCAAATGTGATGGCTGCCATCTTGGACCATGAGGAAGAAGATGACATTCTTGGTGAGCTGGAAGGAGCTGACGTCTTGGGTCCCTGAGGACTTAATGGAACAGAGCCTCGACACTAGTTCTGGACTGTCTACCTCCAAATTTATACATGAGAAGAAATAAACTTATTTATTGTTTAAGTCACTAATATTTTGGGCTTTTGCTTACTCACAATCAAACTTAATCCTGTTACAGTGGGTATGATTTTTAGCTGCATTTTAGATGAGGAAACCAAGACTCCAGGAGGCTAAGAAACTGGCCTAAGAACAGAGAGAGAATGCTTATCAGAGGTAGGTTCAAACCCAAGTCTCTCTGCCTCAAAGCTAGTGCTCTTAACCACTAAGCTCTAATGTCTTCTCCAAACTGGGTGGAAAACTCTGCAGCCTGGATCCCTCGCCAGCTATCAACAGATACCTTTGGATCTTGAAGGAACAGGTTATGAGATGAACTTGAATAAGAGGATGAAATGCCAATATTTTAAGAGTAAATGTGACTCAAGAAAAGAATTTCAGTTCTTGTGAGCACCAAGCTCTTGCTCTCCCTTTAAGATAGATGAACGATATGTTCAAGTTTAGTAAATGCAACAAGTGTACACTAAAGACCTTTTGTGGGTCCACCACTATGTCAGACACTGTCAGAGATCTGAAGAAGAACAAGACCCGTCTCTATCCCGAAAGGGCTTACAGGCTGGTCAGAGGCATCAGGGCAGCCTCCACATCTTCAAATTCTTAAAGACCTTAGCATTACAGACTTGCTCCTGCTTAGTCGACAGTCATATCTGCAGTTCTTTATTATTTGTTTGTCAAGAAATACTTATTGAGGAAATGAAACAAAACTGCGAGGTCATGCAACATTGGAGCTAACTTTGACTTCTGTTTCCTTCTCTTTCTACGTCAATCCCTACGATTTTTTCCTACCCACGATTTTCCAAACCCACTACCTTTCCCAGAAACAAGCTTACCCCAGACTTGGAAGAATGGTGAAAGTGCTTTGGGGGAAACTCCCCCTGAAAGGTTAATGTGTATGATAAATCTGCCCCGATTTTTATTAGAGACATAAAGATTACTTTAGGGATGTGAGAGTAACGAGGGCATTTGGATATGTTAATATTTTAAATGATCCAAGAACTGATTTGACAGGTCATCTCCAACGATGCAAACATGGGTATAAAAGTGTCAGAAAACAAGGGGTCCAGGAAGTCACGACAAGCCGGGAAGTAGAAATAAAAAATGAGAGGAAATACTGCTTTCTCATGGGAGTAAGAAAGAGGCAGAGTCTGATCTAAAGGTGGTTGGGAGTGGAGGGAGTGGAGGGAGTGGACAGCACTGCTCAAAATTAGAAAAAAAAAGACAGAGAAACAGGGACTACCACCTACGGGGACTTGCATCCTTCAAAAACTATAAAGGAGGGGCCGGCCCAGTGGAGTAGTGTTTAAGTTCGCACACTCCACTTTGGCAGCCCGGGGTTCATGTGTTCGGATCCCGGGCGCAGACCTACATACCACTCACTAAGCCATGCTGTTGCAGCATCCCACATACAAAATAGAGGAGGACTGGCACAGATGTTAGCTCACAGACAGTCTTCCTAAAGCAAAAGGAAGAAGATTGGCAATGGATGTTAGCGTAGGGCCAATCTTCCTCACCAAAAACAAACAAACAAAAACTGTAAAGGAGACTTGCTAATTAAAGAGACTTTAGACTTTGGGGTCAGATCAGAGCTAATTCTATGGGCTCTGAAGAAAACAGAACCACCCTGAATCTTTGAGGATGTACCCAGAGACTGGAAAAGAAGGACAGATCTTCCTTAAGGCTGAGAGTTCAAGGGCTGGCTTGGGGAAATCTAAGGTTGAATGTAAAAGCAACAGACTTCAGTATTACAGCCAAGGTATTATACACAAAGTTAGAAGGAATTGTTAAACTAGCCCTCTTTAAATGATCTACTTTTATTTATTTATTTATTTTTTTGTGAGGAAGATCAGCCCTGAGCTAACATCCAATGCCAATCCTCCTCTTTTTTGCTGAGGAAGACTGGCCCTGGGCTAACATCCGTGCCCATCTTCCTCTACCTTATATGGGACGCCGCCACAGCATGGCTTGACAAGCAGTGTGTCGGTGCACGCCTGGGATCCGAACCAGCGAACCCCGCCGCAGGGGAGAGCGCGCTCTTAACCGCTACGCCACGGTGCCGGCCCCTAAATGATCTACCTTTAAATGGTCATAGAATATTGACTGATTTCTTCATATTATTTCTATGGGTACCCTGAGTGGCCTGCTGGGTGTATTATCCTCTTTTTTTCCCTTTTAATCAGCAAATATTTATTTAACACAGTACATAAAGCTCACTGAAATAGGCTCTGAATTCCATACCAATAACCCATGGCAGCAATCCTGGATTACAAGATAGGAATGTGGGGCACTAACCCATCCATCCAAAAGTGTACTGAGTGATCATAACTAAAGTTCACTGCACACTCACTGTTTGCTAAGTGCTTTATACATATCATCTCACTTAATGCTGACAACTTTCCAGGAGAGAGGTACTACGGCAAGTCCCATTTTATAGAAATTGAGGGCAAAAAATTGAAGGGACTTGCCCAGGTTCACACACCCGGTAGGTATAGAATGGGGACCTTCACCTGAATCTGACTGTAGAGTGGGGGCTCTAATCGCACTCCCTGTACTGGGAACAAAGAATAGATATGCTTTAGACATAGCTCTGAGATATCACATTTGATATTCACTTCAGTGTGGGGAGACAGAGACCATTATGCTCATCTTTCAGATGAGGTAACAGAGGCCAGAGAAAATATCTGCTGCTCGTCACTGAGCTAGCAAGTGGAAGCAACAGGACACCCAGCCAGATCTTTGAATTCTAAGCCCAAAGCTCTTTCATTTACCAATGGAGGGTGACGGTCTCAAGGTGGCCATCTACTTGGAAGCCCCTATTTCCTTAGACATGTAGAACAGAAGAGGCCAGAGGAAAACTCAGGGGCTGGAGTGAGAGCAGGCCTTGACAGCAATTTGTGGAAGGGATCAAAGGAGCCTGATCCACACCTTAGCCCTGAATCTCAGGGAAGCAAAGGAAACTACACTCCCAGACCATTAGCCAAAGCTGTAGGACATCCTCTCATCCAGAAACCAACTTCCAGAAGAGTGACTTCAGATGATGCAGCACTTTCTATATATCTAGCCTTTTCCTCAAACAACGACAGTGACCAAGTAGACCATCAGGCAGCAGAAAAAAGGGGAAATCCCCACAATGACTCAGCCTGCCAGGCCTGGTGTCTGCACCTTTCACCAGCCCAGGTTCCCTGCCGCCTCCCCCGCACTCACGGTTCTGGATGGTGATCTTGCGCTGCCGGTAATCCACCCCCAGCACGGGCTCATTCTGCCCCCGCCTCTGGGCCACGATGCGCACCTCCCGCTGGTTGTCGTTGCAATCATTGGATGGGTCCTGGCCCAGGGATAAAGCTGCCTGGTATGCTGAGGAAAGAGGTCACACCCAAGTCACATAGCAATGGGGAACTCCCATGAAGAAAGGTGCCCTTACTGTTCCCAGGGGCAACGAAGCATCTCAGTTTTTCCTGAGCCTATGCATCCCCTGGGAGTCTTGTTAAACATGAAGATTCTGACTCTGTAGGTCTAGAGTGAGGATCTCAGATTCTACATTTCTCATGAGGTCCCAGGTGATACCAATAAACTATACTTTGACAGCCAGACTCCAGACCACACTAATAGGCCATCATTTCCAAATTCTGGCTGCATCCCCTGTCTTCCATCCCAACTTCTCTTGCCTCATCTGCAGTCTCCCAGACTCTGCTCCCATGGGGTTCATCCACCTGCCTTTACAAGGTTTGAGAGCTGCTAAATCTGCTGGTGGCAAATGCCTACCACCCTAGTCTCTCCTATCTTCCCACTTGACCCAGGCATTTTAAGAGTAACCCCAGGAACCAATGCCTTGATTTAGAGACGGGTCTTTTGGGGACAATGTCAGGCTCTGTGGGTGGCTCAGACAGTTAGGTTTGGGGGTTCATATTATGAGACAGTAGTCAGAGCTAAAAGAGGTAAAGCTGATGCCTGCCGCTCCTTTTCCTCATCTCAGGAAGCTCACTTCATTCCTACAAACAGGTGTCCACTTCTATTCTCAAAATTTCTACAAGGTTAATTGTCCTGGGCTGACGGTGGGGATCTAGGTTCATTTGTTCCTTAAGAGAGGGCAGAGGTGGACAGCTAGGAAGAGCTTTGGCTCCAGACAGCACAACTGACATGAGTGGGGCAGTTGTGACTGAGAGGTAAGACTTGGCTAAACATAAGGGAGTTGGGCAGCACTAAGAGATGTCCAACAATGAGTGTGTTCCCTGGGGGCAGCGAGCTTCCATCACTGGGAGTGTTTAGTCAGCAGGGGAATGATGGTCCACCAGGAAGGCTGGGCTGTAGAAGGGGATGTAGCAGTGGGCAGGAGGTTCACAAATAACCGCTCCTGATGCATCCTGGGGGGCGTCTTCTTGACTACGTTCTAAGGTGATGGGGTTGCTGGGAGGCAGATCTGTAGCCCCATCTCAGTGCACCAGCATGCAACCAGGAATGGACTAGGAGGCAGGACGTGCTCTGCCTTTTACTTAATGTCTGAACTGCCTTAAATCTTTTTAGAACAAGGTGGGACATAAATTTTAAAATAAAGAATATGTGAGCTTGAACAAATTACTTCATCTACCTGGCCTCAGTTTGTTTATCTATAAAATGAGGGGATTGCATCAAATAATCTTTGTGGCTTCTTCTCACTCTAAGGATTTGTGATCCTAAATAATTCCTACCCTCTAATGGCAGTACTTCACAGAGGGACCCGGTGAGCGAGAAGGGGGAGGGCACTCACATGCAGAGTAATAGTCTAAGATGGGGTCCTTGCAGAAGGACTTGAAGCGCCACGTCACCACCACGTCCTGGAGCTGGGCAGAGGTGGTGTAGTCACATTTGAGGATGATGGAGGCAAACAGGGTGACATAGCGCTCTGTGTCCTGGACCGTCACCAGCAAGGACAGGCACCCTGCAGCCAAGAGTAGAAGACAATGCTGAAGGCAGACCAGGTCTCTGTGGGGTGACCTACTTCTGTTCATGGGGTAATAAAGGCAAAGCAAATGAGCAAACACACTGCCTGACCGGTTGGGAACTCACAGGCAGAGTCTGAATTCTTACTTGGCCTGGACAGGGTGTGGGGTGGAGACTGCAGATACTCTGGGGGAGACTGAGGAGAAAAGGAGCAAGGACAACTCCCAAGGAGCTTACAGTCCATTGATAGTGATAATGCATCCAACAATACAGAAATCATACCTAAAGAAGGCCATATACCTACTGGCGTGACCTTGCTAATATATATATTTTTTCATGTCACTTTGTTTCTTAAAATGTTTCCCCATTTCCATAGGATAAAGTTTAACCTCTGTAACCAGGCCTATGGGGCCTGTTGGATCTGCCTTCAGCCTTTCTCTGCTGCCTCATCTCCCTCCATGCCCCACCTGGCACTCAGGGCTTCAGCCACTCTGAACTTGCTTCAGTCCTTCCCATGCTAGGATCACTGTTTTCTCTAGGTCTTCCCATATGTGGATTTCTCAGCTGGTAATACAGAGTTTTCTTCCATATCACCAGCCACCACTCCACTCCCTTCACTAGGTTAATTACTATTTATTCCTTAGGTCTTCAGCTGTACCCTTACCTCCTCAAGAAGACTTCCTGACTGCAAGTCTGAGAGAGCGGCCTCCCTCTGTTTTCCCAAAGTGCCTCGTCCTACCCCCAGGCAGCACTTTTCACACTTCTTGGTGACGGCCTGTTTCCTGCAGGCTCTGAGAAGGGTGACTGGGTTTGTCTCTTATTCACTGTTGATGATAGGACTGTGATAACTTTTATCAAGGAAGATTTGAAGAAATTAAGAATTTCTTTTTCCTTTTTTAAAGTCCCTCTCACTACCTTCCAAATCTACAGACATACTTAAAGCTCCAGGTCTGCCTTGATGAGGAACCAGGTGGCAGAGAAATGTCAGAGGGACTTTGGCACGGTCAGAGGTCCACACATAACCAATATCTTAGCATGTTCCCATGTCAATATGGTTTCTAGACCGAGTTATAAGGAATCTTCTCGTGGGAGGTTTAGTAGAATGACAGAACTCAAACTTGGGCATGCATCACTGGAGGACTTGTGACAGCCCAGACTGCCATCAGTAGAAGCTTCTGATTCAGTAGGACTTGGGTGGGGCCCAAGAACTTATATTTCTAACAAATTTTCAGCAGTTGCTGATACTACTGTTCTGGGCACCATACTTTGAGAACCACTGGTATAGACTAGGTTACAAAAAACCCCAGGCTTTGGACTCAGATACAACTGGGTTCAAATCAAACTTGACTACTTGAACACTGGCAAGTTATTTACTCTCTCTGAGCTTGTGTTTCCTCAGCTATGAATGGAGATTATAAGAATACTAACGTCATCAGGTCCTTGCAAGAATGCAATGAGATAATCCACTTTCCGCACTTGGCATAGTCCTAGCATGGTGCCACCTTAGTGTCAGCACGGTGCCCGGCACAGATGCTGCCGGGTTAGTGTCAGTATATGAGTCTCTTTCTCTCTTTTCCCTTATTCAAGGGCTAAGGAGAAAGGGGTTCAAGCTGGGATTCTCTCCAGTGGAGTCTCAGGTGGAGCAGCCTTCATTTTGACTGAGTTACTCCCACAAACAAAACAAACATAGTCACCCCCTTACAGAGCAACTGGGTGGGCCTGGCACCATGGCAAGAGCCACACAGTTCTGGGTCCTGCCTCACCTTCTGGACGCAGCCCTCATAAGGCAGTCTGCTGTGGCTTATGATGGGCACCTGTACCCATTTTTCTCACATCCAAGGAGAGAGAGCAGAATGCTGCTCAGAACGGGCTCTGACCCCACCAGAGCCATCTCCAGGGCTGGGCTGTAATGAGGATACGCTCGTGACAGCCATGCGGGAGAGAGGGTCTGCAGAAGTGCAAGGGAGACCTGTGGGTGGGGAAGACGTCACGGAGGGAAGAGATTTAAACTAGACCCTAAGACTCAGGGAGGATTAAGATTATACATGAGAAATAGGGAGAGGGCAGAGAAACTCATTGTTTCAGTCCGGAAGAAAGAGTGAGCAAAGGCTCTTATCAGGAAGGGGCAGTTACTTGGGGAACTGGGAGGGAACCAACCTAGCTGGTGTCTCCAGCTTTATGGGAGTCAGAGGGGGTAAACGAGGCGGGGCTGGTGGTGGTGAGTGGGAGGTGGGGAGATAGAGTGGAGTCTAAATTGCACTCCAGCGTCTATTTCTAGTTAACGGATAATCACTGAAGGCTTTTCTGAAGAAGAGCAATAGGGTGAAAGTGGTATTTTTAGGAAGATGGATGACTTCCTTATTCAGCTGTGAATGAAAAAAGATCACCATTTTGAAAATAAGCCTTGAGTAGTCCGGGGAAAAACAGCTACTGTCTCTACTAGCTGTAGGATTCCTGGAAATCAGTCCCATTGGAAGGGAAGAGCCAGTGACTGGTGTCTCAAGCCCACCATGGATTATTTCATAATCCACTCTTTACATTTGCTTCTCCACCCTCACCACACTTTTGCTTTTTTCCAGAACTGACCTGAAATAGACTTTGGAGCTTTTGCCCAACACAGCTTTAACTGAACAGCAGAAGCAGCTACAGGTAAAATTTTGACAATGAATAGGATGCCATTGTCAACACTAGCTTATTTTGTTCAGTAACATGTATGGATTAGAATAGACAGAAAAACACTGATTTGTGGTCTAAACAAAATCCGAGGTTCACAGAGCACTTTCAAATATTTTCTTTTACACACTAAATATGACCCCTGGAATGAGACAGGCTGTGCTATTTTATACTCAGCAAATCTGGGACTGGAAAAGATAAGTGGCTTGTCTGTGGTCATTAATTTCTAAGAGAGTCAGAGTCAAGATTCTGCCCCTGAGCAGTGCTCTTGCCACTCTGCCTGGCTATTCTTTAAATAATGGAAGATGTCTGGTATTCACTAGCTTGCAAATAATCAGAATATGGGGCCAGGCTACATGAGCAATAATTAATATACAACGGCAGCAGTCACTTTGATACCATGATTAATAACCTACATGTTCTTTATTTTGCTAAATGGTAATTCAACATAAATAGCAGTTTATTCAAAAGACTCTAGTCAACACTATTTGTACAGAGGTGGAACATTTGTGGGGGACGGTGGGTTTGCTGGGAGTCAGAGAAGGGAATTTGGTTGGAGGCAGAAGCTACTCTGGAGTAGCTTTGAAGATTGCTAAATCTGACATTCTGAGGGAGGAGAATGGGGACAAGGGTGATCACCTTCATTATCAAATCTTCACTCAGCTCCCAATCCATGAATGCCCTTATTATGGGCAACCACATCTGAGGTGACACAACTCACCTTTACCAACGTCAGCACTGGCTTTGCTGCCTGGGTACCACTCTTTTATCCTGTCTTTGATTTCATCCCTTATGCGAATTTCAAGCCTTAAAATATACCAGGTTCCCACATGCTTTGACCACACTGACCTCACTCTCACTCCCTCCAGGGGCCTGCCAGCCCCACAGCATCCTGCACAGCTCTCAGACCTTCGCCCCCTGCCCCTCACCACCCTACATGGACAGTGGGGAAGAGTCCCAGGACAAAAGGTACTGAGCAACCAGCAAACCCTTCTCCCTTCCTCTCAGTTGTTGCTTTGGATCTCAGCCTCTGCTGTGTGCCAGGTGACATACATACACTGCCTCCAATCCTCACAAAACCCCCTAGGGTGAGATCAGCCCTGCTCATGTATGTGGACACAAGTTCAGAGACTATAATAGGCCAAGCCCTCTCAGCCTCAGGATTTGAACTCGGGTCTTGCTGACACCAAAACCCAATTTTTCCTAAGCAGGTAAGCTTGACCTTTTAAGTGGAAGTCAGGCACTAGACTCCCAAAAAGCAGGAGGATTTTCCAGATTGGGAGGAAGAGAAAGGAAGTAGCAAGACAGCTCATCTCAAAAGCAAAAACCTCCCATCTTTCTTTTCCCTTAGCCTCTAACTTCTCTGTAAAACTAACCACATCAGGCACACATGCTACTAGCAGGAAAGATTTTCAAGAAGAGACCAAGGGCAGCAGAATCAGGGCTGAAAATACAAACATATTAAAAAAGATGAATGTCCTGTTTATAGATGTCCTGGTGCATCTTTGCCCTTTTAAAGTTAGTACTATGAGTTTTCAAATTCTTAAATTTTCTTTCTGTTCTTAGATTTCCTTCATCCTGTAGCATTTCCTTCTCCTCAATTCACTGCCATCTAATTTCCTAGCTGTCTCTATCATTTTCTCTTGAAAACTTTAATTCTGGAGACTAACTTCCTGAGTTCAGTTTCTGCCTCCACTCTCCCACCAACTGAAAGATCTGACAAGTCCTTTCCAAACTGTAGGTGTTTCTTTTTATGCAAAATTGGGATAATGATAATACTTGCGTGATAGGGTTGCAGTGAGGATTAAAGGAGATAATAAATGTCCAGCATTTAGCAAAGAGGCTGGCACATAATAGACACTCAAACATTAGCTGTCTTAAGTATCATTTGTATAGATCTCACCTACCTTAAGAGATTGAGATCATCTGAGAAGAGCATGTGAAAGCATTTGGAAAGAATTAAAATGATACAAATATAAACTATCATCACTGTTTTCTCTTTGCGAAATGAGTTAGTGCATGAAAAGCTTTTAAAGCTGTGTCCCTTTGTACCCTAGCAAACCCATTCATAGTTTGTCCTTTCCGTGAAAGAGGAAGGGAGGGAGACCTGTCATTTCAGGGTAGAAAGGTAACTTCAGATGAGATATCAGAGCTCATGCGAAGGAGAGAAGGGGAAGGGGATTCTCTGTTTCCCGCCTTGAGGTACTTTCCAAGACTACACTGCTGTACAGAGTGGGGACTACCATCCTGCTTTAAAGTGGAAGGAAAACATATCAATGAAAGAAGACTATCTTTACAACTAAATGCCATGTGTTCCCAAATATA